AAATAATTTTTAAATTATATTTTTTTTAATTATATTAAATAATTTATCTTGTATTGCTTTTTTCATGCTTTCTAATACTTAGAGATGCAATAATGTTTGAATCAATAAAAATTGTTTAAAAAAATTTTAATAAAATTAATAAATGATAAATTAACTAAATCTGTTCATAGTTAATATTAAAGATTATAATAATAAATTTGCGATTATATTAAAATCTGGCAACTTTGAGATTAAAGTAAAACTAATGTTATTAACAAAGATTAGCTTTGAATGAATAATAAAGCAATAAATTTTTAATTGTAATTTCATATTTGTTTATGAAGTAATAATATATGTTCGTGTTGTTATCAATATAATCATTCATTTCTTACTGATAACAATTGTTCAAAGTGATAAGCGATAATGATAATCACCAAAATATTATACAACATCTATTTCTGTACCATTGGTATGTTCGAAAATAAAATAATTGATGAAATAATCATAATAAATAATAAAATAATGATAAAATAAGTGATTTATAAAATAATTGATATAATTTATTAATTAATTTTCATATGCTTTAGCAATATGAAATACCTATTCAAATTAAGCAAATAATGATTTTAATAATATCGGCAACTGATTTAATCAACTAAATGATAAATTTTTAAAATTTCAATTGATATTTACAAATATAAAATGAAACTTCATGAATGTACAACATGAATGAGATGTAGAAATATATTTAGTTTCAATTTTAACTTAATTCACATTTCAGAAATGATTGCCGAATTTGTTTTATAAAGGCTGAATTATTGTAAAGAAACTTAAACTTGAATATTTAAACAATATATTGAAAAAGCAAAAAATATTAATTATTAAAACTTTATATATTAAATCATAAAAAGAATGAAATTATATATTTTAAATGAAATATTAAAAAATATAATTCGAGAAATTAGACGATTATCGCTCATACGGCTATTCGGTATTTCATTGCCTGAATTTGCATCGCAACTAATAGCAATTACTAGCAGGTGGCAGAAAAATTAATTAAGCAATTACGTGTTCTTAACAACAATGAGAGAATTAATCGAGATAAAATTGTTGAAACCTGCTATACATTTGCTTTATAAATTAATTTTCATCCCTATTGTTTTCTATCATATTCTAATAATTAAACGACATTCAATTGATTGTCCATGGCTAAAATACTATTTTCAAGAGCCAGAAAGTGGTTGCAAGCAAGTAGTGACAAGTGGTAGCAAGTGGTTACAGATGATGACAAGTAGTGACATGTGGTAGCAAGTGGTTACAGATGATGACAAGTAGTGACATGTGGTAGCAAGTGGTTACAGATGATGACAAGTAGTGACATGTGGTAGCAAGTGGTTACAGATGATGACAAGTAGTGACATGTGGTAGCAAGTGGTTGCAGATGGTAGAAAATGGCGATAGTTGGAAGATAGTGATGAACGATAAGATGTGATAGCAAATAGTGGCAGGTGGCAGCAAGTGAAAGCATTGATGACTACTGGTGGTAAGTGGGTTTACAGGTGGTAGTAGGTGGTGGTGAACGCTAAAATGGTATCAGGTAGTTGCAGGTGGTAGCAAGTGGTAAGAAGGGTCGTAAATGGTGGCAAGTGGTTGAAGGTGGTAACAAGTGTAAAGAGGTAGTTGGAGATTGTGGCAAGTGGTTGAAGGTCGTGATAAGTAGTAAAAAGTGGTAAGAAGTAGTTGTGAGTGGTGGTAAGTGGTTGAAGGTGGTGACAAGTAGTAACAAATGGCAAGGGTTGTGCAGGTGGTGGCAAGTAGTAGCAAGTGCTAAGAAAGGTTGTAGGTGGGGACAAGGGTTGCAGGTGGTGACAAATAGTAGCAAGTACTGACAGCTGATAGTCATGCATATGGACTGAAACCGGATTGCGATCCTTCCTGATATTGCGAAACCGAATGAGATTTAGCCAGATTCATTCGTTGCATATGATTAGCAAAAAATTTAATGTTTGCTTATAGTTGTCGTTGTATTAAAGTGTTGTCTTCCTAAACTGTTTCCTCTGATACCTGAACGCCACTTGCAATCACCTGCTACGAAAATTTTCCGGTTACAGCCACATATATAATAATTTACTAATACCGGGACTGTTCATCCGATGTAAATGATATTCCGAAATAACTTCGAATGAAGTTAGAAATACCGTAGCTCGAACCGTATACGGTGGATCAAACAGAAGGAAATATCCAACATTGGTAGTTCATAATTGTTTTTCTACTTTTTTATTTTCCATTAATTTTACTAACATTAAAAATGTGGCATTCCGATTAAATTCATATTTCAGGTATTACTTTAAAAAAACATTACATTTAATTAAGTGGAATTTAGCACCACTTGCTACTACCTGCTACTAATTTATATGCTTCAAAAACAATAACTACCTTTTCAAATTAAACAAATATTTTCACAATAAGCAAAATGGATAATTTGGTTAAATAAAAAAAATATGAATAAATAAATGTTAATATTAGTTAAGCAAATATTAAACAGATGGCAAATATAGATAATAAATGTTAATTTAATTTAAAAAATAATAAATCTTTAAACATGAAATAGAATTTTAAAATTGTATCAAATTTAATATTGGAATGAGGTACAGAAATATTTCTTTTTTTTTTATTGTTACATTATAAAATTTGAATTATAATAGATGGTAGTAGGTAGCAGCAGTGATACGCGGTGGTAACAACATTGAATTATTGTTAAGAAAATTAAATTCAAATTAAATATTTCAATAAGTATTGAAAAACAAATTTAATGTATTTCATATAGCTATTCATCACTTTTTTTTTGCTTTTGTTTTGCTAACAATTGTAAGTGGAAAGTATATGAAATTCGTTAGGTTTATGTTTTAAATTTCAAACTGTAATAAGTCAAACTGTAATTTTCATTTATCAATCCACAATGAAAAAAAAAATTCGTTTAAAATCATTGCATAAATTTGATGAAAAATATTTTGGCGTTTTAATTGTGGTAAATTTTGACAATTTCAATATTTGTTCAGTGTGATTTACTTTTACGGCTTTAAATTTACTTTTGAAAAGTATGTAAAAAATACAGCAAAAATGGAAGTGATAATGGTGATACAATTCAAAAGTCATTTCATATATCAATTTAAAATTAATTAATTAAAAAACAAGCAACTTCACCTTATATTATTTTACAGTATATTTACAGTATACCAAATACTTACTCTACAATATTTGTTCAATGTGATTTACTTTTACGGCTTTAAATTTACTTTTGAAAAGTATGTAAAAATTACAGCAAAAATGGAAGTGATAATAATGATGCAATTCAAAAGTCATTTCATATATCAATTTAAAATTAATTAATTAAAAAACAAGCAACTTCACCTTATATTATTTTACAGTATATTTACAGTATACCAAATACTTACTCTACAATATTTGTTCAATGTGATTTACTTTTACGTCTTTAAATTTACTTTGGAAAGAATGTAAAAAATACAGCAAAAATGGAAGTGATAATGGTGATACAATTCAAAAGTCATTTTATATATCAATTTAAAATTAATTAATTAAAAAACAAGCAACTTCACTTATATTATTTTACAGTATATTTACAGTACACTTACAGTATGCCAAATACTTACTCTACTCTTATATCTGCTTAAAATTTTTTCATAATAAAAAATTAAATTAAAATCAAAAGTGAAATTAGTAAGAAAGATCGAAAAAAAAAATGAAATAATACGGGTTAAAAAAAAAAAAAAACTTTAGGTTAAAATTTTTTCCTTCTTTTTACTAAAATTTAAGAAGAAAAAAGAAATCCGAGAAAAAAGTTTCATATTGAATAATTAATAATTGCTCATCAATTCAATGTGAAATTTAATTTCAATTTAAAAATTAATTTTTCTATAAATTGCTAAATTGTCATAAAATTTCACTCTAAAACTCATATTATTGTCAAAATTAAAATTTTGATTTCAATAGATGAACCAAAGAAATATTTGTGTAATTATTTTACGAAAAAATAATTTTGATCTAAAATTGACAGAATTATCGGTGAATTTGAGCATATCAAAAGTGTTAAACTAAATAATTCGAAATTTTTCAATAACTATAAAAGAATGTCACATTGATGTGACATAATCCAACCTATATGTAAACGAGAAAAATTATTGTTAACGACATTAGCGCCCGTATCATTGCGCTAACCTATTGCATTCATTTAATTTTAATTGAAAGTATTCAAATAATTATTTAGAAGCATACTGAAATAAAATTTTACAAAAAAAAAAAAAAAAATTGTTTCATTTCAAATTTAAGGTAAAGAAAGAAAAGAATATTGGAAGACATACTTAAATGATATAATTAATGCATTTATACAATTATAAGTATTTGTTTGTTTGTTTGTTTTTGTTTACTTATTTCAATTGATGTTTTGTTTAAATTTTTTATTCTATCCAATACATGTACTTCTATTGAAAGAGTTATTTAACTTTTTTTTTTTTTGAAATTGTGTGCCATGGAATTAGCTTTTTTTACTTGTCATTATGTTAAAGCAATTGAATTGTATGAAATAATTATTATAAATCATTTTGTTGGATTTTCATTACTTTTGATTTAAGTGAAATAATTATTCGATATTTTATCGGTTTTTTGATTTAGATGAAACATTTTATGAGATTTTTTACATTCGAAATGTTAATTACTTCGTTGTTATTTGATGATAAATTAGCTAATAAAAATAAATAAATTAGCCAATAAAAATAAATAAATAAATAAAATGAATGTGAAAGTTATTTCTGAATGACATTTGTAATTAATTCATAGAAATGAATAGATTTGATTTAGTTCATTAAATAATGAACAAGAATACTGGAAATAGATAATGAGTCAAATTCTTAATTAGCTAATGCTATCGATTAACTGAACTTTCCAGAATTGTATTTCAGGATTCGACCGGAACGTCTTTTTCTTAGTTTTTTTTTCTAAGTTACGATTTTGGAGGATTTTCTGCATTTCCGTTCTTCAGCATTGGGGTCTCTTGGGGTCATTTTTGGTGATGGAGAAGATATTTCGGGATGGCAAAGTTCGTGAATGTCGCAAAGTGTTTTGAAATATAGTCTACCTTGGGGTTTCACGTATTTTACTGATAATTGAAAGGTCATCTGAGCTGAAAGTAATTGAAAGGTTATCTGAATTAAAACTAATTGAAAGGTCATTTAAATCATACTTTGACTTATCAATGTGACTAACTCACTTTACTTTACTTAAAGTATTTTTTCTATTAATTGCTTTGTCTTTTCATTGCAATTGCTAATAAATTTAACTGAACTTCCATTTCAAACTTGAATTTTATAAGTTTGGCGGAGAACCAATCATTGATTCACAAATATTTATCAAAATAAAAATATATGTATGTGAACAAGTTCTTAGCAAATTAATTGTAAACAAACATATTCTTATCATTTCACCTTTTAAAATTTAGAAATTACATCATCTTATACATATAATTATTTTAAAAATATTTCTTCGTATTTCATTTTGCTAAAATAATTCGCTTTCTGTTTATTATGATCGATACAAAATTATAGGATTGTAAAGAATTTGCATATTTTATTATTTTAATTGTTGTAATTTAAATTAAGGAAAGGAAAGCAATGATTATTGTTAAGTTAAATGAATTAAATTTAAAAAAAAAAAAGACTAATAAAATGTTAACAAAATGGAAAAAATTTTTAAATTATATTACTTTTGAATTGAAATATTTCAAATTTTTTAAATTATATTACTTTTGAATTGAAATATTTTAAATTTGCTGCTACATTAATGTTTTTACTCCAATGAAACAATAAAAGTTTGAGCTAAATAATAGTTGCTTAATTAAAATATTACTAAATGAATTACTCAAAATTTACTTATGACAATTTGAATATTAATTTCTCGAACTGAAAAGAGCGCCTAAATGTCATAAAGGTCAAATGATCATGATTTTTTTTTTTTTTTTGTGAACTGATCTAATTCAAATTAATGAAAGCAAAAATTTTCAGATGTCCTCCAAAACACTGTCACATATTCTTGTCATTATTATACTTTCTGTAAATCTGATGTTATTGTCGTGTTATAAAATATCAAATGCTAATTCAATAAGGTTATAATTAAAATTTTTTTCTCATTCAAAATTTCAATTTTTTTTTTTCTTCAAAATTTTAATAGAAATAATAAAATTAAGTATTACTTTTTTTTTTTTTTTTTTATGCCTCAAATTTACTCATTTTTTCTAGCAAACGAAATAAGCGGCAATTTCACGGCGGTAATGACTTTGGCTTCATTTCCGTTCCATTCTTCAACTATGCCTGGGGCAAACATTATTATAGTCCTTATGGCTGGGGAATGCCATGGCATACATTTGGGCCTCGTTACGGAGTAAGGCGACGTTTCTGGCGAAGGCGTTGGGAAAGCTCAGGTGGATTTCATGACGGTTTCGGATTTCACGGCGATTTTGATGGTCCGTAATACGGTTGATGAATGCTGTGTAATCGATTTCCTGAAAATTGAAATTGGAAATGATACGGAATTATTGCTACGCATATATTATCGTATAATATATGATTGATTGTTTGTGTAGAAAATTTTGAAAATTTTAAAGTGACAAACGAATAATGTTAAATCTTTTGAAATATGTAATAAAGTATTTATATAATTGAAAAGTTTTTAATTGTTACACTGATTTTATTGATTGAATAAAATCAATCAAAAGTTTAGATTATTTCTTAAATAGATGCCATTTCAAGTTATTTAAATTGACAAAAATGTCTTAAATGCTCATATCATCATCACTGTTATCAGTTTATCATCAAATTATGATGGATGAAAATATGTTGTGAAGGATAAGAAAATAAAAATGAAACCTGATTTATTTATTTATTTTATTTTATTTCTTTTTATTGTCAAAGGTATGCATTAAATTTCAAATGCTTGCTTGCATACTATGGAAAATGAAGAAATTGAAAAAGTTTAAAAATTTATTAAACAATATTATCCATCAAAGAAATATAAAGCAATTTTTTTTCTTCTTTTAATCGTTATCGAAATATTAGGAAAGGTAAATTTTATAAAAAAAAAAGTACAAAAAGGAAGAAAAGTAAAAAAAAAAATAAAAAATTAAAAAAAATAAAAAATTTAAAAAAAAGTAAAAAATTATTTGTTTACTTAATGAATTAGTAATCACATATGTTTTTATTAGTTTTATTTTTAAAACTGTGGAATATATAATAAAGTTTAACAATGATGTAATCAATGTAAAGATTTAAGAAAGTTTTTTTTAAATTTTTTAAATTAAAGTTTTTATAAGAAATGATAAAATGCCAAATATTTCGACTTATTTTTTTTTTTTTGTTTTTATAGGACAATATCTGATCTAATACTTTATTATAAATTATGCGAGTAGGGCAAAAAAAATAACACAATGTAGTGAGAAATGATAATGATAACATTTAATAAATTCCATTATTGATAATTCTACTTTGCTATTTTAAGCTGAAATTTCAATTTGTTTAATTTTTCTTTAATTTAATTTTTCTTTAATTTAATTTAATTGTTCTGATAACTCTGCTACTATTCTGAACTGATAATCTTATCAGTAGTTATGACTGTTATCTTAGATAGTTCAATGCTGCAAATGGTTCATCTTGAATTTGACTAATTTGCTTAGAAGAAGCTAATGCGACCAAAATTCGAGAATGCAAAATTAATCAGTAGAACTTTTTTTGCTTAATTCTCTTTTCATTTGAACTTTTAAATAGTAAATGTCAAATATTTAAAAAGGTATTTTTAAAAAATAAGTTAGAGCCAAACAAGAAGAAAAAAAATGGTTAAAATGAAAATTAACATTTAAAATTCTGTTTTTGATAATCGATTTTAGTCGCTTTAAGCTGAATTGAATTTAAACTTTATATTTCATTAGTTTCAGTTTTTAATTAATTCTCGATGATCTCATTCATTGCTATCTTATCTTTGCCTTACTTCTTTTGTTATCGATTGAAAAAAATTAATTAATTACAAATTTTACGATTTTAAAATTTTAAAATCAATTAACTGGATTTTAATTATAAGGCATACTTACGTGTTTAGTTTTATAGACTATGTTTTAAGCGGTAATTTTTTGCTTTCTCGATAGGATTTAAAAAAAAATAATAATAATGGATTTAATCGTTTCCTAATTTGATGTCCTTTGTGATTGGTAGATGATTTTGGCGTAGACATTTTGGCAGAATTTATATGGTGGGTCAAAGGTCAAATCATATTTTTTGTGTTTGAAATTAACAAGCCACTTTGTTTTTTGTTTTTTTTAATTATTTAAAGATTTTTTCATTTTCATTTTACCATTTTTCCAATTTTAGTTCACAATACCTTCTTTTTTTTTCCTTTTTCTTATTGATAATTAATTATTCGCAACTTTTACATTTTGATTTAAAATTAATGGAAGTAATAAAATGAATTATAACTGTTAAATTTTTTTTTAAATCTTTTATTAAAATTTTTTTATTGTACAACAATTTCAGGCTACTAATATGATAGATCTGATGGATAATTTTAGAATTATTTACGTTAATTTAACTTTTCTCATAATTGTATCAAATTTTTAATGCTTTTTTATTGTTTTCAAAAATAATTGTATGTAATGTAATTGCTTAAAAGGAACAGCAAAATTTAATTGTAAACAAAGAATTTTTTTTTTTTGAAATACAAAAATTAAATTATTAATGGAGTAATCATTATTAGAGTTTGCTAAGAAATTGCTCTTCAAAGCATTTTTTTGCCCGTACTAATGGGTATAATTCCCGAAAGCGCTTCCAGCACTATTAACTTTAAAATTTCTTCTGCTTCATTCAATTAATAATTGGTAGTTTTGAACTATTTAAATTCAGTGTTTGCTTAGCCGTTCGTTTTAAATTTATATTTTACTAAATTATACACCGCTATATAATAACATATTTACTAATGATCAGTGGAAAATATAAATTAATTTTATCTAATTTGTAGTTATATTACGGTATTTGATAATTAGCAAAATAATAAGCAAATAATTTGAAATAAAAATTAAAAATTTTGTAAACAATTACAATATTAAAATGTTATATTGTATGAATTTAGTAAAATTAATTAGCTAACACAATTCTCCGTTTTCTTTTTTTTAATAAAAAAAAAAAGAAATATCGATTTTTTCTAAATCTTTTTTTATTTTTTTCAAAACAAAATGAAGTTTAATAAATAAAAGATACTAATTGTTAGTGTTATCATTTATTTTCTTTGCTTAGCAAAAAAAAAAAAAAAACTGAAAAAGAACAAAACTTTTTTTTTTTCTTTAATTAATCGAAAGGCAACAACAAAATATGTAATTTAAATTTTAATCAAAACATACCACTGGATTTAATTAAAAAGAGAAAAAATTTATGGAAATTATTTTAAGACAGTAATTTGTGTTTTTTTTTTTTTTTTGATTCGCTTATTCAATTATTTCAAAAAATTGAAATATTTATCTAAATATTTTTGATAAACAATGCATAAAAATTAAAATATGATTTATATTGCATTAATACAATATGTTTTCCATTTTTTTTTTTTTGCTCAATTAATAATCAAAACAAAATTATTAGTTTTTTTTTTTTGTTTTTCATTTTACTAGCATCTATTTTTTAAATTTATATATCAATCAAAATTTCACTTACGATTGATATATCTTATCAATTGAATATCTAGGAAATTTGAATTCAAAAAAGCATTTCTGTTTCCTTTTTTTCTTTTTTCTAAGCAAAATTAATATTTACATGCTGAAAGCATATTATTTCCTGAAGTTTTGCTTATTTCTTTTGCCAGTTAATGGCAAAGAAATAAATGAAAGTAATAATTAGCAGTTCTAGTTATTATTGAAATTTTAATTTATAAAAAAAAAAAGAAAGAGAAAAAGTGTTTTTCTTTCTCCTTTTTAATAATTTTGTTTCGAATGGATGAAAGCTTCGATTTTCTCGATTTTAACATTTTTATTTCGAATATATGAAAACTTTTACTTTCTCCTTCCTAAAATTTTTGTTTCAAATACTTAGAAAAACAAATTGCAGAAACAATCAAATTTTAAAGCAAAATGATTTTAAAAAAATTTGCTAAACATCTAATTCAATTTATTGGTTATAATATTCAAAAAATTTTTTCATATCTTAGAGTTAATTTTTACTTGCCCATATAACTTATAGAAACAACTTACTTTGTACTTTATTCATTACTTTGTTCAAATTGAACCATTACTTCATCAAATTTTAGGAGAAATTTGCACAGATTTTATAAAATTCAAATTTGAAAATGCTAATTTGTATGATATATAATTCTCGTCGTTTTTCTTTCTTTTTTTTTTTTTTTTTTGTTAACAATCAGAATTCATTAAATTTTATTTTCAGCAAACATTTGAAATTTTTCTTTGAAATTGTTGACTAATATTTCATCCAATTATGTTTTTCTTTTCCTTTTCAAATATTTCTATTCAATGTAAAACTTTTAAAAAAGATCAAATTTCTCAGTCGCAGTATCATTTACTCCTTCTTTGCTTCTTAGTTTAATTTAGATTAAAGGACAGATAGATATCATACATAGATTATTTATGAAATAACTAAGATTTGCTAAGAAATAATGTCTTTAAAAGTTAATGTGCATGTGAAATTTTAAATTGTTTAGATTTACTAAGGATAATTTTGTCTATGAATTAATTAAAATTACTATACTTTATTTTAGCATAGAATAAATAGCATAAACAGTGAATAATACTACAATTAATAATCTTTTTTTTTTTCTGTATTCAATCATTTGCTAATTGCAACGATAAGTGCTACTCAGTGCATTTTTTTTTTAATAATGAACCTTTTTTTTGTGAATATTAAAATTACTTCAATAAATATTAAGCGAGTAATTGTGTCAAAGCATTACCGTATTTGTTACAGTATTCTTGCAAAGTAACGATGTGACCGTATGTGAGATTCAGTTATTGTATCATACGAAAATTTTATTTTAATTTCCCTTTTTAGCTCTCTTTTATCGATTACTTCCTTTTTTCATACACATAGCTAAATATTTGGCGAGTAATTGTATCAAGGCATTACTGTATCTATTACAGTATTCTTGTAAATAATAATGTGACCGTATGTGAAATTGCATGAATTCCAATTACTGTATTATAAGAAACTTTTATTTTAATTTACCTTTTTGGCTCTCGTTTTATTGATTAGTTCCATTTTTATATACATATATTAGCTAAATATTTCTTATAATACATAATATACAGTTTTTACCGAGGCATTACCGTACATATTACTGTATTCGTGTAAAAAAATGATGTGACCGTATGTGAAATTGCATGAATTTCAATTACTGTATTATAAGAAAGTTTTTTTTTTAATTTCCCTTTTTGGCTCTCGTTTTATTGATTAGTTTCTTTTTTTATATACATGCATATATTAGCTTTTATTTATTAAAAAAATTCATCTAAAATTGTTTTTCCTTTTTCAAAAAGATTTAACTAAAAAAAAAAAAAAAAATGAAAACTAATATTTACACTTAACGAATAAAAAATCTTATTAAGAAATATTCAATAAGAATTACTACTAAAAATCAAATATTAATTTCATTGATGTGAGTAATGAGTGTAAATGATATCATGTGAATTAAACAGGTGAATTTTTCTTTTTTTTTTTTTGTCATTAATAATTAGCAATTCTTTTTTCTTTTTTTTGAAGCAATGATTTAAATAAAATTTTGAATTCAGCAAAACTCTTTTTCCTATATTTTTTTTTTTTTAAATATTTCCAGAATGAAAATGAATAGCGATAATTTGACTCCGAAATGTATTGAATTCAAATTCACAAAATAACAATGATTCTATTATGCTAAATCAAAAAAAAAAAAGTTTTTCGTGCTTGAAAATAAGTGATAAGCGATGCTAATTAGCAATTCTTACATTTATGACAGTTGGTTAATTAACATTTTTTGTTATTAAATTCTATCATGGCAATATTTTATGATTTACTTTTCTTTAACATAACAAAATAATTGTGAAATTAAATAAAATTATAGAATTTAATTTAAGGTTAATCCTTTCTTTCCTTCTTAAACAAAAATTGTGCGTTTTTCTTCCTCTTTTTTTTTTAATGTCAATTGTTTTCATTAATTTATAATAGCAATAATAGTAGTATTAATAATATTTCTATTATCTTATACAAATATAATACATATGTTGGTGACATTCTTGAAGTATGAGGAAAATATGTCATATGGAAAGAAATTAATTATCTGACTAATATCATCTCAATGCATTAATAATGCTTTGACGATAATTTTTTTTTTCCATTATCAAATTACAACATTATTCCAATCATACAGCTTAACATTCATTTATTTTACTTTAACAAATTAATATTTTAGAAAATTTCGTTTTTTTTTTTTTTTTTTTTTTAAATTAGCTTCATTTTCACCTGAAATAAAGATCTTATAATACTTTTAAAGACGGAATGCCTACTTAATCTTAATTAATTTGTTTTCGTTCAATTTAAACTTTGAATTATTTACTTCTTTTATGACTGTTAGAGGTGAACAAAAAAAAAAAAAAAAAATTACGTATTACTGTTGATTTTTACATTATAATATATTTTACTTATTACTTTAACTTTAAATAACTTATTACTTCATTACTTGATAGTTTTGATATTATTATTAATCTTATATTTTACTGATTTCATATTAAAACGTGTTGTTAAAATGCTGACGTTTTATTCGTTGAAGATTTTTATTTAATTTGTTTCATTATTATATTAAAAACAACAATGATTCCATAAATACTATCTATACGTAATCCACGTAAAAAATAAAATCCAAAGAAATTTTTTTCTACATTATAATTTCTTATATTTTTCAAAATTTCTATTACAAACAAATAATAAATATAATTTACGTAATAATCAGCAAAAAGAAAAAAAAAAATCGGTAAAATATGAAATTTTAAGTACTGCATGGATACTTCAATATATCTTCATTTTATTTTTTATAGGTAGTTTAAGAATTTTTTTTTAAATTAGTTTAAATAATTTAACAAAATTCGTAAGACTTTTCGTTGTAACATTGATACACAAAAAAAAAGATAAAATTTATTAAATTATTATTATTAAATTGTTTTATATTATCATTTTGCTTATGTTAGCTATACTTTCTGTCATTTTATATTTGTCAAATAATTGTTATTTTAAATGATATTTTAAAAGCTATTGGAAATTATTAAAATCAACAAAAATTAAAAATAGGATATTAAAATCTATGAAATTGAAATTTTTTGTTCAAAATTTTATTTCAGAATTGCAATAAAGAAAAAAGGATTTGTGAATAATTTTATCAAAAATGATAATCAAAAATTTAATCTTGCATAGTCTAATTTTGGCTAATATTTGCGTGAATGGAAGCGATAATGAAAGGTTAGGTATATTTTTTCTTAATTAATTAATTCCGAGAATTATAAATTAGGACGAGAAAAAAATTTAACAGGTAAGATAATTTTATCTTTTCAAATGAAATTTATTACTATTCGATAATTAGAATCGGAATACTTAAAAAAGCACAATGTTTCTGTAATACTAGAAGTAAAAAGATACGATATATTAAAATTTTAATAAAATTAAAATAAATAATTACTTATTTAACTTATTGCCATTCATTGATTTACCTATTTGTCAAACTGTCAACTTTAAAATCTTTTTTATTTCTTTATTATTAAAATGGATGCGTATACATTTTTTATACAATAATTAAATTATTTTTGAGTAAAGTAAACTAATATGATAGTAATACTAATATTTAACTAAAACTAAATATCTATACTTGCCAAATATTTATTTATTTTTTTAATATTTATACAATTTCTTTTTTTTTTTCTTTTTTAATAATTTAATTTTTTTTTAAATAAATTTTTTAATATAATAAATATAATTTTTATTCAAAATTAAAATAAATTTGCAAAAAAAAAAAAAAAAAAACAAACAAATTTACTGATCATCTATGCTTTCATTAAGAGTTGAAATTTTATAAAACTGAAAAAAAAAAATTTTTTTTTTTTTAGTGATATTAAAAAAATCTTTTAAATGTCATTTTTTTAGCATTGATAAAGGATTGATAAAACAATGGTTGGATGGTGTTATATTAAATCCATTGGTTGATAAAAGTGAAACAAAAAGATGGTGGAGTGGTAATTTTAAACCATGGGATGGTGATTTTGAACCATGGCGTGAAAGTAATGGTGGCGAAGATTTTGTCGTATTTCCTGGTGGTCGTTTTGGTGCATGGGGTGATCGTATCTTTATTGATAGAAAAGAATAAAGTTATTACTTTTCTTTTTTTTTTAAGTAGATAAATAATTTTTGAATGTGCTGCTAATAAATATTTTCAAATTTACATTTTAAAAAAAAAAAAAAAAAGTTGATAAAAATTTATAATTTTTTTCAAAAATAAAAAATGATCAAAAATTATCTAATGTTAATAATAGATGAAAAAAATTTTTTTTTAAAAAAAAATGTTTATTACTTTTGAAAATTATTCATTGATTATGTTTTTTTTTTTTTTTTTTTTAACTTTTAATTGTAAATGTTTTAAATAATATTAAAACGTTCAAAAAAAAAAAAAAAAAAAAAAAAAACAAAGTATGATTATGTTAAATTTTCACTTCTACTTTTAATTCTAATGATATTTTTCAATATAGTTTACTTGCATATTCATTGAGCAAAATTATATGTGCTTTTTTTTTTTTTTTTCATAAAATTTATTCAAAAAAAAATTTTTCAACAAAATTAAAAATTTATTTTTTTCTTTTTTTGCTATCGGTGTATTTGATTTAATCAAATAATTCACTCATAAAATTTCTATTATTTCACATCGATTTGCTTTTTTGATTTAATAAAACTTTTGCCTAAATTTTACTAAAATTTAACATTCCTTTTTTAAAAGTTATTTAAAAAAAAAAAATACTTATGCATTAAAATTTTACTTTAGCATTTGAATATATGCAAGTAAAAACAATTATTGTTTTGTTAATGCAAAATTGAAAATTATGATTTCAGTATGAGATTAACATCTGTTTTAATTTTTAATGTGATTTATAATTTTCATTGAGAAGTAATTGCCATTTATTTTTTTTTATTATTATTAATGTTTTTCAAATTGATTAAAGAATAAATTTATATTATTGAACAGATTTGGAGTAAGATTATTATAAATAGTTTAAGTACAATATAAAAAAAAAAAAAAAAACCATTAATTATCATTAAGTTATATATTTAATCAAAGTATAACAGTCATTCTTAATTAAAAATCAAACTATTAATAATAAATAAGGTAAGTGTGCCAGTCTTATCAGTAGTTTATCAGTAGTACATAATACTTATAATACTTTTAAAAGTGATTAATTTTAATTGTTAAAATATTAATAAAATGTTTTATCACAATTTTTTCTTAAACCCAATTTTTTTTTAAACTTTATTAATAAATGAATGAATTTTTACATATTTATAATATTATTAAAATCAATGAATTTTCAAATATTTATAATTAATTGGAAATCTAACTATTAATAATAAATGAGGCAAATGTGCCAGTCTTATCAGCAATTTATCAGTAGTAGATAAACTACTAGATAACACTTTTTTAACTTGATAAAAGTGATTAATTTTAATTTTTAAAATATTAATAAAATGTTTTATCACAATTTTTTCTTAAACCCAATTTTTTTTTTAAACTTTATTAATAAATGAATGAATTTTTACATATTTATAATATTATTAAAATCAATGAATTTTCACATATTTATAATTAATTGAAAATCTAACTATTAATAATAAATGAGGCAAATGTGCCAGTCTTATCAGCAATTTATCAGTAGTAGATAAACTACTAGATAACACTTTTTTAACTTGATAAAAGTGATTAATTTTAATTGTTAAAAGATTAATAAAATGTTTTATCACAATTTTTTCTTAAACCCAATTTTTTTTTAAACTTTATTAATAAATGAATGAATTTTCACATATTTATAATATTAAAATCAATGAATTTTCACATATTTATAATACAAACAATAAAATCACTTATTAATTTAAGCTTTAAAATATTAAATTTAAGTTATTTTTAAATAATTTTAGCAAGGAATTTGAAATAAAAATGAATTGTAATTGAACTAACATTTAAAAAAAAAATACAAATATTTTTGGCATTTTTTGTTTAAGATAATATTTTCAAACAATGAAATTTTTCTTTTGTGACAAAATTTTTTTTTACAGCATTACTACAAATTATTTGAATGATTAATTCTAACTGTAAAATATCAATTTAAAAAATTATATATTACAATTTTTAAAATTTTAATTAATTAATAAATTGACAAAGTTTTACATATTCCTAATGCAATAATAAAATTGCTTATTAATTCAGACTTACAAGTTTATGTCATTTTTAATTAATTTTAGCAACAAATTTTGAAAAAAAAAAAAAAATGAATTAAAATTGAATTATCATTAAAATAATACAAAGACATTTTGTTTAGGGCAATATTTTCAGGCAATTTGATCTTTCTTTTGTAACCAAAATTTTTTGTCACAATATCATTTCAAATTATTTGAATCATTCATTTCATTTCAAATTATTTGAATGATTCATTTCATTTCAAATTATTTGAATGATTAATTTCAACTGTTAAAATATTAACAAAATAATATATTCCAGTTTTTTAAACCTTAATTAATTGAATAATTCGACGAAGTTTCACATATAAACACCACCTCATAGCATCCCTTACTAAGCCTAAGATAAGCTTAGCCTAGACATAAGCCTAGGCTTAAACCTAGGCTTAAATCTAAGTCTAAGTCTAAAAAGTTACGCACTTTTATTAAAAAAAAAGAAAAAATTATGCATTTGTAACCTTATGCACATCCGCAAGCAAGCCTAGGCTTAGGCTTAAGCTTAGAATTAGGCTGACTTTGGCTTAGAAGTACCAATAATTAGTACAAATGTGTAAAATTAAAAATGCATAAATTTTTTTATTTTTTTTTGGAAGTTTCTTTTTTTTAAAAAAAAAAAAAATTTAAAACCATATGTTAAATCATTTTCCTAAAATTTTGCTTTATCAAATATTTTTTCTTTTCTTTTTTTTTTTTTAGACTATTTTATGAAGTAATATAGTTTAATATTTCTTATCACTTATTCATTTTTCATCTTTACGTTCTTCTCAAAAAGAAAACAATTACATAAATTATTTATTTTTTTAAATTTATTATTCTCTTTTCAGTTTTATATTTCATTTCTTCTATAACAATTTATTTTAAAGTTATATATGCTAATGAGATTAACAGAAATTATTTGATTTGATACATATAATCGCCAATAAAATTTAATAAATTTATTATCCATAAATAAAAGTTTTTTTGAAAAAAAAAATTCTGTCATATGTATCAAAAAGATAAAAAATTAAAAAGTAATATTGCGGAAATTTTTGTACTCTAAATTATTACAAATTGCGCCATTTCTAGAAATTGATTGATCATTATTCCATTGCTGTTGTAATTGATCAAAGTAAGCTTGACGGATGAATTGATCTGGTGATATATTAATTGAATTTGATCTGCCAAGTTTTACGCAACATTCAAGGCCAAGTACGTGAAAAAGTGAACTTTGAATTGTTTTACTTGCGTGAAATAAGATAATGGCAAGAATAATTGATGCAATTGGTAGAGAACAAGCCTAGAATAAAAGTAAAGTATAGTAGATATTCAAGTTAGCTTGTTTATTTGTTTGTTTTTTTTTTTTGGTTGTTTATCAAATAAGTGAAAAAGATTTTGGAAGAAATTTTTTTTTTTTGAGAGAGAGAGAGCACCTGTAAATGCTACCTGTATTTCAGCGCAAAAACAATACGTGATTAATTGATCAGCAATAATCGAATAATTATCTATATGACGTGAAGGTAGCACAAGATGTAGTAATGCACCCGTAAGAATAAATACTGTTATAATTGCAACAAATGGTACCAATAATTTTGACGTTGAAACATTTTCACGTAACTGATAACGTACGCTAACATTTTCATTTTGAGATTTTCGATGGAGCTAAAAAAAAAAAAGAAAAAACAATATTAAAAATTAAGCAGAATGCTTTTTAAACTCCATTGCTAACTAAAAGATTACCAGAAATATTGAAATATTTTAGTCCGATGAAATGTGTTTTATTAAATTTATTAAAAAAAATTTGACCCACAACAAAAGAATGTGTTAGTAATATAAATAAATAAATAAAATTACTAGCCTATCATTGACCTACTGTTGACCTATTATTGTTATCATTATTACAACTCTTGATAAGCCTTGACAGCTTAGTAATACTATCATATTCCACATTTAAAAAAAAAAAAAAAGATTTTAATAATCTATGACAATGATAATAATTTAAATAATGTTATCTTTTAATAATTAATTAAAATAAATGCATCAAATTTGAAATATTTTAAATGAAATTCAAAATTGCTTACTAGTATTATTATCATTATTACAACATTTGATAAGCCAGCTTAGTAATACTATCATGTTCCATATTTCAAAAAAAAAAAGGAAAATTTAATAATCAATAACAATAATTTAAATAATATTATCTATTAATAATCAATTAAAATAAATGCATCAAAAATTTGAAAATATTTTAAATGAAATTCAAAATTGCTTACTAATTTTTTATTGTTATGCGTCCACAATACAATAACAATAACAAATGAGCAAATTTGAATAGCAATAACACCAAGTTGAATATTTGCCATAACGTTTGGATTAAATAGCTCATAAGCACAATAAGGAAAAATATGCTCTTCATCATGATTCTGATAATAAATCAAAGGAAGAATTAAAAACCACTGAAAAAAAAACTTGAATTAAAATTTAGAAATGAAGTATAGTGCTGAAGTGGTATTAAAATAATAGCTCATCAGTATGTACAAAGAAAAAAACTTGAAATTTGTCAAGTGAATCCAGAAGATATCCGGAAAATTATCTTTGACAAGTTTAATTCAATTTAGTTTTTTATCAAAGTTGTGACATTTTATCATTAGAAAGTTTATATCTACTAAGCTGTTCAATTAATTGCAAAAGTTTCGATTACTAAATTGTTAAAATTTAGAAATGAAGTATAATAGTGAAATAATATCAAAAATAATAGCTCATCCGTATGCACAAAGAAAAAAATTAAAATTTTGTTTTTATTTTTCTAAAATGAATTTCAAATATGAACTAACTGTTTTTTTTTTTTTTTTTTGCTATTCTATTTTGATAGTAAACTATCAATTATTTTTGAAGAAATAGATTAGATCAAAAATTTATATTCTATTTTTGTTTTTTTTTTTCTTTTTTTTTAAAAATAAATTACAAATTTTCGTAAAAAAAAAAAAAAAAAAAAAGATTACAAATAAAACGTTTTTACTGATAAACAAGAAATTAAAAAAAAAATAAGCTAAAAGTTGAAAATTTCACTTTTTCCACATTCTTTCGTTAAATTTTCACATTCTTTTGAAAAATTCCACATTCTTTTATAAAATAAAAATTTGATTGTGATAGAAAAAAAAAGAAAAAAAAAAAAAAAAAAACAAATTATTGACAGTAAACTATCAATTATTTTTGAAGAAATAGTTTAGATCAAAAAATGTATATTCAATTTTTACTTTTTTTTTTTTTAAAAAAAAAATTACAAATTTTTGTAAAAGAAAAAAAAGATTACAAATAAAATTTTTTTTACTGATAATCAAGAAATAAAGAAAAAAAAATAAGCTAAAAGTTGAAAATTCCATTTTTATTTTCTTATAAAATAATAATTTGATTGTGATAAAAAAAAAAAAAAGTGAAAGGAAGAGTAACTTATCTGTGATAATGCCATTAATATACTAATCCATCGACGTGTCTTATGCTCATATGTGTGATAAAGAAGTGTCGCAATTACTCTTTCAATTGATAGAAAAAATGTTGATACTACTATCATTATCAGACCAAGATAATATACATTTCTTAATGCTGTAAATATAATTTAATATATTATTATGGTTAAATATTTAATACTTATTTAGTGATGATAGTTGTTTACTAAATTATTAATTAAATATTTTCTCAATTTAATACTTATTTAGTAATATATTTGTTTACTTAATTATTAATTAGCTAAATGTGTGCTTCTCAACAAAAAAACATCATTTTGTTAAATTATTTTGTTAATTAAATTAATTATTAATTAGCTAAATGTGTGTTTCTCAACAAAAAAAACATCACTTTGTTTAAATTATTTTGTTAATTAAATTAATTATTAATTAGCTAAGTTTGTGTTTCTTAAAAAACATTATTTTGTTAATTAAATTAATTATTAATTAGCAGAATGTGTGCTTCTTAAAAAACATTATGTTGTTAATTAAATTAATTATTAATTAGCTAAGTTTGTGTTTCTTAAAAAACATTATGTTGTTAATCAAACTAATTATTAATTAGCTAAATGCGTATATCACAACAAAAACATATCAAATTATTTTGTTAATTAAACTAATTATTAATTAGCTAAATGTGTGTTTCACAACAAAAACAGATCAAATTATTTTGTTAATTAAATTTAAAATATTTATTTATGCAAATCATCACTATATCATCATGACTTGAACAATGAAGATAATTGCTGCAAAAGCGCTAATGACTGAAAAGATCAATGTGAAATGAGCAAAATGAATTGTAAAAAGAAAATGGCGGAAAGTCTCGCTTATCAGTGATGGTGATGCATGATTCTTTTTATCTCGAGATTCATTCTATTTGTGTTTTCTGAGGGATGATGAGTCATCAAAGATGCAAATCTTAGAGAGTCCATAATTTTTCATTCTAAAGTTTTGATTTGAAGTGGCTTAGTTGCTACCTTAGCAGCATAGACTAACTGTAGCAACTCCTATCTATGACCTAAATGACGATGAAAGTAGTATTTAGGTCTGGTAAATGAATGTTTGAAATTTATAAGGAAGCAGTGCTAATTGAAATATTCAAGGAGTCACAGGTGATAGTGATAAATGACCAATGATTCTGAGTCACAGGTGATAGTGATAAATGACCAATGATTCTGAGTCACAGGTGATAGTGATAAATGACCAATGATTCTGAGTCACAGGTGATAGTGATAAATGACCAATGATTCTGAGTCACAGGTGATAGTGATAAATGACCAATGATTCTGAGTCACAGGTGATAGTGATAAATGACCAATGATTCTGAGTCACAGGTGATAGTGATAAATGACCAATGATTCTGAGTCACAGGTGATAGTGATAAATGACCAATGATTCTGAGTCACAGGTGATAGTGATAAATGACCAATGATTCTGAGTCACAGGTGATAGTGATAAATGACCAATGATTCTGAGTCACAGGTGATAGTGATAAATGACCAATGATTCTGAGTCACAGGTGATAGTGATAAATGACCAATGATTCTGAGTCACAGGTGATAGTGATAAATGACCAATGATTCTGAGTCACAGGTGATAGTGATAAATGACCAATGATTCTGAGTCACAGGTGATAGTGATAAATGACCAATGATTCTGAGTCACAGGTGATAGTGATAAATGACCAATGATTCTGAGTCACAGGTGATAGTGACAAATGACCAATGATTCTGAGTCACAGGTGATAGTGATAAATGACCAATGATTCTGAGTCACAGGTGATAGTGATAAATGACCAATGATTCTGAGTCACAGGTGATAGTGATAAATGACCAATGATTCTGAGTCACAGGTGATAGTGATAAATGACCGATGATTCTGGGTCACAAATGATAGTGATAAATGACCAATGATTCTGAGTCACAGGTGATAGTGATAAATGACCAATGATTCTGAGTCACAGGTGATAGTGACAAATGACCAATGATTCTGATCCATAAGGAACAGCAAACATAATGATAAGGAACAGTAAACACTTTAGACAATCCAATTAGCATTTTTTGCCAAATGTTTATTGTTGCATAATTTTCTTACCTGTACTGCTCTACCTATAAGTCTATCTTTGCTAATCTTATCATCCAAAGAAATAATGCTTCTCAGAGAGCTGAACTATTTGGAAATGACCCCTCTAAAAATTGGACTTCCTGCAACTTCTGCAAAACAAAGTGTTAGGTGTTACAGAACTGTTTCTCTGTCAGTAATGAAGGCGGCATAGCTCTCGGACGGAACGTGATATTTAGACGTTCGATCACGTAAGATCACTCTCAAATGACCAATGTCTTGAATAGTTTACTTACATACAAACTTAAATGTCCAATTTCCAGTTCATTTTTTTTTTTCACTTGCCGTTTCGTCCCTTACCTGTCACTATATGGCTTTACAAATGTGAATTTTTTACTTTTTAACTAACATTCTTTTTGCTTCTAAAGTTTAGTCAGAAATCTTCAATTTATAAATTTAAATTAGTGAATTTAGATTAGTTAAAGGATTGATGGATGAACTTTTAAGACTAAAAAAAACGTCATTTGCCCAGATTTGGAGTCAAAAAAATTATTATTCTTCCAGATTTACCTGATCCTGCTCATTTGACATACCTAACTTTTAAGACTAAGTGAACTTCATTTAGCCAGATTCCTCCAGATTTACCTGACCATCTCGCTCATTTGACATACCTAAGTTTTAAGACTAAGTGAACTTCATTTAGCCAGATTCTTCCAGATTTACCTGATCATCCTGCTCATTTGACATACCTAACTTTTAAGGCTAAATGAACTTTATTTACCCAGATTCTTCCAGATTTACCTGATCCTGCTCATTTGACACATCGAACTTTTAAGGCTAAATGAACTTCATTTACCCAGATTTGCCCAGATTCTTCCAGATTTACCTGATCCTGCTCATTTGACATACCTAACTTTTAAGACTAAATGAACTTCATTTATCCAGATTTCTCCAGATTTACCTGATCCTGCTCATTTGATACACTTTTTGTGATTCATCAATTCATCACACCAATCTAACATGGAAAAGATTCTATCGAAGCTTCTTTTTATGGCTGAATATTTATGCAAATTAAATTTGTATTAAAACAAAATAAACTAACCAATACAATCTGATTTAGTAAACGATAACCATGCACAACGTTCTACATCTACTTTTGATATAATTGCTATAAGATAATAAGTTGAATCGATAAGTGTTCCTAAATGAAAAAAAAAAAAAAAATGAAACAAATTAAATTTTATATTAAAATAAAAAAAAAAAGCTTAGTTTATTATTGAATTGCAAAGAAAAAGAAAAAATTTACCTATTTTATTTCATATTTTATTTTCATATTTTATTTCATTTCATTTTTATTTTATTATTTCAAAGATATTTTATTTCATTTTTAACTAATAATAATAATAATCAACAATAAAAAATTGTTGAAAAGTTGAAATTATACGAAAATTTAACAGTTTGTTTCGATTCGTTTTTTCTTTTTTTAATTGTTAATCAAAAATGAAAGAAAAAAAAAAAAAAAAGAAAAAAGTAAACAAAAATAACTTTAAATTACCTATACAAGTAACAATAATAGCGCCCCAAAAGCATAGAAGTAATAATCGCAGATTGAAATGAAGTGTCTTATTAAAAATTATAGCTAATAGAGTAAGTGAAGTTGTTAAAATAGCCAAAATGCTTGTTAAAAGTTCAATAATAAATACATTATGCATTCGTGTATTCTTTACATAAATTAATTTTGTCATTTCACAAATTCCCGATAACACTGATACATTAAACATTTCTCCTGAAATTTTCTT